AGAATATAGCAAATGGGAGACGTTGTACTCCCCCTTTCTGGAAGTGATGCATCGAAGTGTTGGAGAGGCAGTGTGAGGCAAGTGTCTAACCTTTGCCAAGTATACTTACCGCCATACATCCAAGCGAATTAAAATTAGAATAAACATGTGCAACTAAAACGGGTACTTCGTAGTGATTTGCAATTCTTTGGGTAGAATTCAGCTCTGTTACTGAATATTTTTTCGTTATATGATTATCATCTTTTTTGTTTCGTACTAGCATGCTTCTGCTTGAAAGGCTGATGATCTCTAGTGACGCATTTGAAGTTGACGTTTGTAGTGAGTGTGGGCTGATGTGTTACTCTGGATGGTAAAAACACTCGATAATTCCCTTATTTAGAAATCAGTTTCTTAAGGGCTTTTGGTATTGAGAGACGTAACCATAAAAATGTTCGTAGCAGGTCGTATGAACCTTCAAAACTACCGTTGCAGAGAGGTTTGTGTTACATAACGCCAAACAGGTTGATGGACCAAGTACCATGTCCTATCCGCTATGCTTGTGTATACAGTGATATATCATATTCATAACACACCCGAACACTTGACTTACAGCCTGTGTACAGCCGCCCCCTCCCCCCAGTAAAAATCCGGAAAGGGGGCGGCTGTACATGTACACAGGCTATAGCGTATGACTTAAGGTCATACGCTACTGTGTTCTTCCTTTGCAGGTGCCACTACTGTTCGTCTTCACACAACATTTTCACATTGAAAATACCTTACGCTTGCAAACTGCTCTTCCAAGAACTTTTGTCCATGAACATTGTTCCACGACTTTCTCTCAAACACTACACTGACGAATGACATAGAGATTTTTTTTTGAAGTTTTAATGACTGCAGGAGCCAACGATGCTACGATACTGGGTGCAGAGATACTCCCACAGTGAAGGCGAATTTATTAACATGGTGCAACTCGTGTTGCGGTATTTTTTTCACTATCGCAATGGGAAATCTATCAAAAAAGTAAATAAACAAATTATTTAACTGTACCGCCCTATTAACTGTTTACTCGAGACGAGATCAACACTGGTCTGATGTTATCCTTATTGCATCATTTTGGTGAATGACTAAGTGAAATTGTGGGATTAGTCAAGTGATCTTGCGAAAAAAAAACCTACGGCAAAGTGCTATTGTGTTACGTAACGCTTGCATTGTTATAAATGAGCTAGCTCCTGTCTTACATCTAAAAGTAGTGTAGAACCCTGTAGTCCATTCACTGTGCAGGAACACTCTGCTGCTCAAGAGGTATTCCCCTCTTTAGAGCATTTTAGGAGGCTAAGGTTTGGAAAAGGGTTCGGAGAGGGGTATGATTTCGCCAGTCGTAGCGTCAAGGTCAGCCTTCCTTTCCACGGTCTTTGACATATCGCGCGAGATAACGCGAGTTGCTGGAAATACAAGAGATCACAAGAAGCACATGGTACCACGACAAAAAATAGAACAGCAGATGTAGATATCGCGGATATTCTTGGTGTTATACGGAGGCCAATGTCTTGATGTTACTAATGGTCTTGAATCTTACGCTTGGCATCCTTTGGTGTTCATAACATCCACAAAATGCCCGCATCTTCATCTTTTAGTGTGGCGTTATCGTTATGCCTTTTGGTACGAGGTAGGGGAGGTCTCGCGCAAATGCTGCTTTATGCATTAGAGAAGGGACCGAAGGAGAAAAACGACAACTACAAAACCGCGCAACCCCGGGAAATTAACCGCTGAGCTCAGAGATCTCGCAACATGGTGAAAGCGTGATACTCGTTCAACATATATGCGTTTTTTACCAAGCGTGAGGTCAAGGTTGCTGGATATTGGCCATGCTCTTTGTTGTTTCTGCGTGCGTGCATGTGTTTTTTTTAATGGATCGAGACGAAGTCCAGGTCAATAAAAACGCAAAAAGGAAAGAGGCCCGTATCCAGCCATCTTAGGGTCACCCTTGGTGTAAAAACCTGTGAAATTTTTTTTTTTTGTTTTCGGGCTATTATTTCTAGCTATTATTTTCCTTAGCTCTTTTGTGTTGACTTCTCACTGGCTTCTTTGTATTAATTGTTTTACGTCACTTGTGAGGTTCACAGGTTTTTACACCGAGTATGAGCCCCATCTTGACCGAACAAGCTCGGTCAATAAAGCATTTATTATATGGCCAAAAAGATAACCTTCTCTTGTGGCACCAACGCGGAAAATCCCCAGCGGGCAAGATGACCGGGTAGCAAGCCAAACAACAGGGTTCGCTCCATCTTGCCTGCTTGCGGACTCAGTTATATCTTATAAAATACCGCATTAAACAACGGTCAACATTGGTGTAACCCGCTTGGTCGAAGTAAAAGAGAGTGCAAAGTTCTTTATTTAAAAGAAATTCCACTTTACTGCTTACTAAAAAATATAGATAATATCTGATAAAAAAGAACGTAACATAATGACTATTCCTGGAAAGTTTACCAAGTTGACTTTTCCTTATTACAAGCACATAGAC